CTCCTCCCTTTCAGATCTCCAGTGCAACACCTCTCCTTTTTCCTTCTCTTTCTAAATAGTCCCGAGCTGTGTAGAATGGTCTGGGTGTGCTTTTCCAGGCTCTTGAGTGAAAGTACCACAAATCTGATGATCTTTATTAGCCGTACGTCCCCTCGAGGGTCCAGAGGAAAGCTTTCAGTGCTGCAGTGGGCAGGACTGTTCTTGGCTTTCAAGGGGGTGTGAGCAAAACCTACAGAAAGGAGCGGAGGCAGTGATTTCTGCACTGTTTCTGTGTATGTGGCACTTTGATTTCTTCCCCGAACTCCAGCACTTGTTGTTTGGATTCTCAACCGACTTGGATGCTGTAACCAGGCAGGAATAGAATCCTTGTTGTTGCAGAAGGTACCTACAAATATTCCTGGAAGGCATGTCGTTGATAATAAGTATGTGGGGTTTGTAGTGCTGTCTGCTTATGGATTCCCCCCCCCCTTTCTCAGATTCTTGAATTGTAATGTGATTTTACAATTTCTGAGAATAAGTCTTTTCATCACTTCAGCAGGGTGAAAGATCAGTGTTTGTATACAGGGTGCTGTGTAAAGCTGTGCAGGCAGTCTTGCCGAGTTGTTCTGAGCATGCCTATGGAGTGCATTGGAAAACGTTTCCAGATTTCCCCTCCCTCCAAATTTGTTGTACCCGTACCTCCTTGAGTTCTGCATCTGAGGTAATGGAGCTTATCTGAAGCGTAAGCTCATTGATGTCTTATGTGTTCCCCAGTGTATGTTTTTCTGAAGCCATCAGGGAGATGCCTCATTGAAATCCTGTCTCTTCCTGAAATTATTTCGAGGGAAGCGGATGAGTGCTGTGGAAAAAGACTGTCCTGCTCCCTAGAGATTTTTTCCATTCAGAAGTTGGTCTAAACCAGAATCTAAATCTCATACTGATACCTCGTTACGCTTCTTAGTTCTGGATCACCATAAAATCTGAATTGATGCAAGTCTGTCTTTAAATCGAAATACAGCTTTTTGCTTCAGAGAAGCACTGGTAAGAAAAAACATACGTGCTTGTGGGGAGGTTGGCCTCTTGATTGCTTGAAATGAGACTTCAGCAGACGGCTTCTTTCCTACTCCCTGTAAAATGGAGATTTAAGTAGAACCCTTTCTGCATTCAGTTGATCAAACTTAGAAATATCTAGATGTATAAAATTGTTGAATCTTGACCACGTTTTTCATAGGGACCCTTCTAAGTGGCTCTGCATCTGTGCAGAACCGCTCCGGTTTTATTCTTTTATGGCTGACGTCAGTCAGTGAAGCCACCTCCTGCCTCGCTACTGGAACCAGTTAGTGTTCCCCTGCCGGATCTCAACTGCTTGCCCGAGCTGCTTTGATGTAAATAGTCTATAGTTAATCTTAATGCAAGTGTACTGTTTTTTTCGGGTCACATCTTGTGATTGTAAAGCATTTTCCATCTTCAAATACCGATTTCTGTAAAGTTACAAGATACCCTTTTATTAAAGAAGTTTGAATTACTTAATTCCCAATTTTTTCAGCGAGCACTAGGAAAAGTTGCACCGTGTGCTCTAAATCTGAAGTTTACTGATCTGTCTGGGAGCGCAGTAAGAGGAATCAATAACTAATCAGTGGGGAACTGCTGAGGACTACGTGTTAAAGAACAGAAGTTGGTGGGAGAACTTAGAGGTTGAAACACTTTTTTTTTTTTTTTTAATGGAACTGTCTGCTTACCCAGAGTTTCCAAATTACTTCATGTTAATATGAAATAAAACATCACAGGTCTTGAAAGACTGAGCCTGTTTTAAACCAGAATCTGGTCACCTTGAACACTTAATTATTTGGAATTTATACTAGGATTTCAATGCAAAGGAAAAATGAATGTCCGCCATTTTGCATTGCAAAATGATTTCTGTGTAGCTGTAGCTAGCTTGGCACGCGTCGGAGTGTTGTCCAGCGGTCAGCAGTGCAAGTTCACAGAAGGGAAAACAAGGATAGAAATGTTAGTTTGTGAAGTGATACGTTTTCATCAGACTAAAGCTAAGAAAATTGGATGGATAAATGCATCTAACCATTCATTATAATTTAGGCTTTTGGAAGTGAAGTTAGTTTTAAATTGAAACGTTGGATTCTGCACAACAGGAACATTGTGCGAGTGACCCGAATACATATAGCCGGTCAGGTTTTGCCCATGATCTGTGCATTGGGCATCTTCCGCTGAAGTATTTGCTGTACTTCATAAGCAATTTGATAACTCCGTAGGACTGCAGTTCCCCATCGGGGGATCCTTCAGTGCCCCAGGACTCACTTGCCTTGGAAAAAACCCATGAGGTAGCTGTATGTCTTTATCTCCTTTGCTCTTTTGAAAGAAAAATGTCAGAAAACTTTCATTTGTTTCCCTTTTGTTTGTCTGGAAAGGTTTCCCTGCTGCAGCATCTCTTTTCTTTGGGTCAGGACCGTGCGCCCTTACGCGTTCCTTTGGGTTTTTTGGTTTTATTTTGGCCTGCTCCTTTTCACTGTGGGTCCTAAGACTTTCCTTAGCTCAGCTGGTAGCAGCTCTACCCTGGATGCAGCTGTGTTGCTCATCTGGACATCTTCAATTTTTCATCAGGGAGTGAAAGTTTCTCAAAACAAACGAGGCCCTCCCAGGGTTGCCAGTCTCCGCCGCCGTATATCTGTCCCGGTTAGCCTCAGGGTCTCTCCTGGATGGTTCTTTAAAGACCGTCCTGGTGGAAGGCAGGCGTCCAAATCCAGCTACATCAGAGAAGCGGTTTGTAAGGTGACAGGCGGCAATAAAGTATAAAATTGAACTGTGTGTCACGAGCTCTACATAGGCCAGTGCTGTTGACTGCTAAGTTGTGAAAAGATTATAGGAAACTAAATCTGTTGCTGTTTAAAGAAGCGTTGCACTCTGGAGCATGGTACGAGGGAGCTGGGCCTTGAAGCTGTGGAGGCGGAATTTGGGAGAATAAGAATAGATTAAAACAAGGTTTAAAAAGTAGTGGTTGGCTGCCCTGAAGGAGCTCCATGGTAAAGGCGTCGGTGTGAGAGGTTTTGGAAAAAGAACATGGGAAGCAGAGTGTAATTAGGAGGAGGATGACGACCAGTAGGTGAAGGTCCTAAGTTAAGGTGGTCTGTGTGACTTGGGGAATCTTTAGCACTTTGTAAGGGGCAACTGTAAACGAAGAAGCAAATAAAAGTGGTAGTTAGTTTTGCTGAAAAGAACACATTTTGTACTTTGTAGTTCCCCACTTGTAACTTTATATCTGTGAGGTTTTGAGTATAAAATTGGTTTTTAGAACTTCTCCTTTTAGAAGAAAAGGTTATTTGGAAAAAATTCAAATTTTCCATTGTCAGCTGGAGCAGGGGTTGGTCGTTGTGTCCCTCGGTGTGGTTTACAGAGTCTAGAGATCAGACGGGACGCGGGATTTTGAGTGGGGAATTTGGCAGCGAGCAGTATGTGGAGTTGGCAATTAACCCTTTAACCTGTTTGTGCAGACCAGAACAACTTCAGTTGGACTGGGGAAGGCCCAGTGCCTGTGCTTCAGGTTACTGCTGCTTGCCTGACACAGCCAAGCTTTAGCAGTTGTAGTCTGCAGTACGTCATCAGCTTATTTCTTTTTGCAAAGTTCCTTTATTGAGCTGCTTCTCTGTGGAAGCGTAGCAGAAGCTCAGGTATTGCTATTACACATCTAATGCACGTTTTGAAGAAATTCTGCATTTTTGCGTAGAGCATATGTTGACTTTTCCCATATTTACAGGTCCCTTACAGGTAGAAGTAAGAATCTGCTAATGCTGAGCAGATATCAGGAGGTGTTTTGGTTCATCACGGATGTAAAAAATCTGGGATAAGAGTGTGTTTTACATGTGGCTCTGTCCAAGCTCTCTGGTCTTCCACACTGCAAGCCCTCAAACATGCTTATTTGTAGTTCAGGCTCGCCCTTGCTCATATGACTTGTACGGGCTCCTACCGAGCTGTGCTGTCCGAAACTTGTCCCCTCTGCAGTTGGGGAGCAGGCCAGATCACCTGAAAAACGACAGTGACCTTTGTGGAGATCTCATCTGGAACAGACTAGTTTGCTCTGGCTGGGAGAGAAAATTATTTCTGAGCAAACGTGCTCGTCGGGTGTGCAGGCAGAGCTGGGTGACTCATGGGTTTAGCTGCAGCCCTGACGCTTGTCAGGCAAGTCGGGTTTCTGCCCGCGCTGATGTGACAGTCACCTGAGACTGCTCACACCGTGCAGCTGAGTGTTCCGCTGTCGTGAGAAGTGGTGAAGGGTTCAGGTACTGGGTTTTGGACTCGGAATCGTCCGCCAACCCTTTTATGTACCAGTTCGGTCGCCCAGTTAATGAATGTAATTCCCCTTTGCCTTGGATGCTGAGAGCTCCTGCTGGTTCCTGCCCGGCGTCGGAAATTTCACTTTGGGAATTTGTAGCTGGAAAAATATCCTTGAAAGGTGCAGCAAGAGCTGTTTAAAAAAATAAAGAAAAAGTTAGAGGTTTGTAATAGATTAACTGCTATTCAGAGCGAGGATCCAACGGTATGCTTAAGAAGAAAGCGCTTGTGTCACGGGTAATTCCACATAAGTTGTTCAAGAAAGTGAATTACCGGCACAGGGCGCAGGTAGCACGCCGTGGGCAGTTCACTCTTTCCCTGCGTAGTCTGTCGGTTCATGAGTTGCTCACAGTTGGGGGTGGTGACATACCTTTTTTTTGTAAATAAAATGACTGTAAAACCACACAGATGGTTACAGAAACCTTGAGACAAGTAAAATTATTTTTTTTCCTCTATTATCAGAAAATTATGGAACTTGGTTGATGCTCTGCGAGGCTTTCCACCGTTTCTTTTATTCTTCTGCTTGGGCAGACTCGTTATCGGAAAGTTTATTTCTGGAGTAGGCAAGGTTTTGTATTTAGTAGCCTTCATGTACTCAAATATAGCATGCTTGTTGTGAATAAAGTTAAATTGTGTGTTTTAATTTTCTAATGAACTAATTCCTGTGTTTTTCAGATTATACAGTGTTTTTGGGACACACCTCTGTTGGATTTTAATATACGTCCTGCTAACAACAGCTTTCAACTATGGAATCGGTAAATATTTACCTTGCTTCTGTCCAAATTTTCTGTTTTATTACCTAACAAGTGCTTGTGTCCATGTCGATGTGTTTGTGGGTTTTTTTGTAATTTTTTTTTCATTTTCTGAAATTTGAAGGTAAAAATTGCAAACTTCTGTGGAATAACTTAAAGGTACTAACCAAGAATATCTTCGGAAATGTCTTTAGTTCTGAGATGCCCTTTCACTTTCATATCATTTCAAACGTAGCAAGTTTTTCCCTGACTTCAGTGAAAGCAGAAGTTAACTTTCCTGTGGGGGCAGTTCCAGCACTGGTTTGTCCAGCAGACTGCCTAGCTTGTTGGTGCTGTTGACTGCCGAGTATTAAATATCCTCCTACCTCCAGTATACCATGGTCCTCTTTCTTTCTTTTCACTTTCAAATGTCTTTTAAAAAAAAAAAAAAAGTCTATTAAGAATTGCCAGTTTCACAATGTTACGTCTCCTTGTGATTAGTTATAATTGAAACAGATGGCACCTATGTTTCATTTTGGGCAGAGAAACCTCCCAATATGCCGAGACTACAGTTTGATTCAGTGTTAGGATTCAACTTTTTGGTAGCATTAGCAGATGTAGAAATAACAGGCTATCCTAGAGTGGAACTGGGGGGGGAAGAGATTTTTGCATTTTGAGAGAGGATGGGAGAGGTCAGTGCTGTCCTCTGGAAAGCAGATCGTACAGATGTAGCTGGTAGGAAGGAGTTTGTTCTTGCTGTGTTTTTTTTTTCCTGCGGTACTGGCAGTTTGGTGTGTTGCGAGCTGAATAAAAGCTGTTGTTCACTGCTCTCCGCGAGCTCAGCTTTGCAGTGTGTGTCATGGCAGCGTTACGGAGGGGAAGCTCGGCGGTGCAGAGTTGAAGGTCATCCCCAGCGTGCCCAGAAACACTACGGAGAAGGCTCTCAATGGATAACCTACAGTGTGTTGCTTCTGCCGTGGGGCTTTGGGTACTTGGCTGACCTCTTGGTTTATGCTGCAATGGGATGATTTGTGTTGAAATTGTTGTTACGATAAAGGCCATTATTGAAGGAGAGTTACTCTGTGTAGAAATACAGGTCTGCTCTACCAGGTGGCTTTGCGAGCTGGTAGGTTTCTTTTGTCCTGGGTTTTGAGGGGGAAAAAAAAAATCTTTGTATTTAGTTTGTTCATAATAATTCCAATTTAGTTTGTCTGTAATAATTCCAAGGTATTCAGATGAAGACAAGACGTTATTTCCGTTTCCCTTGGCGAATATTAATAGCAGTAGAAGCCTTTCACGGTGAAACAAAACAGGCTAGGCATCAGTAACTCTCCCCTGCTGCAGCTAGGTAATTAAAGTGTATGAAGTGTGAGACCTTTTGCTGTAGTATGCAGTAGCTCTTTCCTTAATGGGTGCTCTGCAGTCCCCTGAAAAACTGAGCTGAATCCTAACATCAATTGTAAACCAGGTTGTTTACTGCCTGTTATATTTCATAGTTCGGTACGAAGATTTTTCAGTCCGAATTTTGAAGTCAATGGTGGTTTGCTTTTTCTGAATGCAAACCGTACTTTTAACAGGGTAGTATTAATTGCAGTACCTCTCACTTAAACGAAAACTTACTAAACATTCTAACGTATTTGCATAGTGTACTTGCCCGCTGGGCAAAATGACTTGCTTCCTGACAGATTATAGAGCATTATGGCTGGCAGACTGCACCTCTACAGGGCCTTTTGTCTTCATCACCTGCCTTTTGGCCACTAATATCTTCTAGGATTATTACTGAGAGCTTAAATTATGCGCTACATCGCTATGGTAGCTGCCCTTTAGAGAAGTTTGCCACACAGGCCTTTCTCCATCTTTAGCCCTTTTCTCTCTGGATGTTTTGTACTTTGTTTATATAAAGCCATGCTATGTCGATTATGGGTCTAGCTGAAACCGTGAATGGAAAAACTTGACAGATGAAGGTTGAGGCTGTATGATGTGACAAAACATTCACGCTGTGTAGAAAGAAATAATTACTATGAAATTGGATGTTTATCTGACTGCTGAAACAAAAAAAAAGAAAGAAGAGTGATTGTGCTTTGTGTGTTTTGTGAGCCCTGGGAGATGATAGTTAAGTGACCTTTTCCAGTAAAATAAGTTTTTATCTGCTGCTCTGCAAAGACAGACTATTGCATTACTTAAAATTCCTATTTGTCTGGGGTCTAATAGCTCTGTTCCTGGGCCACTGCAGTATGGAGATGTTGGGGAGAAGAGAACAAGGGGAGAAGATCAGAATCTTCCAGTGTTGGCTGAAAAGAATTACCCAAATCTGGCACGTTCTGAAACTGTAGAGGTGAATTCATAGGCTTTGTGCTGGTGGGGAGGCTATGGCATACACGGTCACTGCAGTTTATCACGCAGGTATCCGCCAGTGCACTGATGTGCAGTTTATGCCATCCTCCGAGTAGCCCAAGGATTGAACTGAATTAATGTCTGGCCCAAGCTTGAGTAAAAATCTCTCATCCTAAAAGGCAGTCATTCTAAAAGTGGGTCCTTGTCATCTGTGTTAACTCCTTGTGCTGTGCCAGGGTAAAACCCTGGGGTGCCTTGGTACTTGTGTGCCAAACGAGCAGGGTGATGATGTGCCACCTTCTGTCTCGTCTGAAGGGAAGGTGGTGCATCGTGAAAGTGCTCAGCTTTTGTCACCCGTCCATTCGTGACCATGAGAATGAGGTTGCCCTTGCTGTAAACCTGTGACTGAAAATCCACTGGAGCACAAAACTGGCTGGTTTGGGTTTTTTCTCCCCCCTCAAGCAACTTGTGCGTACCAGCATATAACTTGCTGTAAAGGATGCTGCCTCGATTCCCCATTGAAAGAGACTGAGGAGCTTGATCTTCAGGACCAGGCGTACCTTTGTAGTAAGATCCTGCTGTGTTGGCTCTATTCTGATGATGTGTTCCACATTTCATAGCTTGGCTAATGGAAATAAAGCTGCGGTGCTGGAAAGGGACTCGGAGGGTGTCCCGTGTGCTGTTCCCTTTGGCTGCAAACCTGATGCAGGGTGTTTCTGTCCGTGGGAGGTGGTTTGCTCCCGTCACATGTGCCAGTGCCACTGTTTGTGATGGTGTGCTGTTAACCCGATCACCAAGATATTCTGCATTTAAATAAAATATAAATATTTAGAGGTTTGTATAGATTGCTTGTGGCATGATCTGCTGACCCAGAAGTAGTTGCGTTGGTGGGGCTGGAGGACCAGAAATGCTGTGGTACGTTGTGGGGGGGGAGCAGAGGGCCTGTTCCACTGCAGGAAGTGTTGTGAAAGCCTGAGATTTCTCCATTTCGGAAGGTGGCTCCTTTATTGCGAAACGCAGGAGTTGCTACAAACACTGCTACCCTCAGTTCTCTAAAACAGACTTCGGGGTTTTTTTGTCTTTTGGTCGTCCCCCTCCGCCCCCCCCCCAGCTTTCTGTAGTAATAGCAGCAGAGGTCCTATCTAAATGGGTAGAGAAAAAGGGAGTTCAGTCAATTGTGTGAGGTGCCGGCTTCACGTAGCCTGAATGGCTGCAACGCGGCAGCACTCATGCCGCAATGAGTAGGACAGGTATCTTCTCGCTAAACCGTTTTGAACGGTTTGCTCGAAACAAGCCAGGTTCATCAGGGTAGCTACTTTTTACTTGTTGACGGCAAGAAACGGCTGCATCGCACCGGGCTCGTTCTGGGGTTCGGTGACTCGATGGGTTTGCAGCGCCGGAGCCGACAGCTGGCGTGATTCGCGCTTTCCCAACATCTTCATTAGGGAAGCAGAGGGGTCAAGGCTTTCTCTGAGCAGCAGAGAGATTGCAGAGGCTTTTGATGGTGGTTTTGGCACTGGTATTTTATGGAGTTCATAGTGAATATGTAGGTGTAAGATTAAAAGAATGAATAAGGTAGCACTGCTAAACAGAAATGCTTTTCAGAGCTGCAGATGTGCCTTGTTCTGACCTCCCGAGAAGGATACGGTTGTAAAGCTGAGGCCCGTACTGGAAAAGCAATTACAGCGCGTGCTTCCAGGATTGAATTGTCCTCAAAGTCAGATGCTGCAGTAATGTAGCGTTGTTTAGGTGGAATGTGACTTTACTTTAACTGCTTGTTATTTTTCTATTAGTGTTCTTAAATGTGTTCATATACAGTTTTCAAGTTTTACTGCTTTGGGGGAAATAGAGCTTAGTATTCCACAAGGAAGATATTTCTTTCCATAGAAGCGTTCTTCTGAGCTTCCAGGCTTTTTTCCATGTTTCGATTCTTATCGCTTCCAAATTAGAGGGGTTGGAAGGTAACATAACGGAAGCGCAGCAAATATTTTTTTTCTTCAGCGTGTCGGTCACAGCCGAGCTGAGCAGTGAGGCTTCCCGTGTGGCTCTGGGGTGTGATGTGGAAGCGTTGGCCTTTGGGGCAAGAAGCCGGTGTGTTATGAAGCAGGGCCTGGAGAGGGGAAGCCATGTGCAAGTGGAATTAAGCCTTATGTAACAGTAAAGAATTGGAGCTGTGTGGCTTGTGGGTTTGACTGACTTCTGCTGTGGTCCTTACCCCGCCCCTGAAACGGTGGAGCCCTTTCTCTTAGAAAAATTCAGGTTTTGGAAGTGCCTTAAAGCAGCTGGGTGGCTCTTGCGGTGCAGGTTTGCCTGCAGTGTTTCAAGTGAGGCAGTTTGGGTTTGTGCTGGTGCGTGGCTCGGCCTGGGAAGGGCTGCGGCCAGGGTGGACGGGAGATGGGTTGCTGGAGAGCATTTCTTACCCAGTGCTCTTCTCTGGCACGGCGCTCATACACTGTCGTACCTGCGTGAACGTGAGGTGGGTTTCCATGGCTGTTAGGAGCGGTAAGCTTTTCTGTTTGTCCATTTTGTATATAATCTACATTTAATTTTTTAAAGCCACATCTTCACCGTAAGCAGAGGTTAAACAGAGGTGGCTTTATTGTGAGCCTAGATCACTTCATCGGTCAAAGGGGCTTCACTTTTTGGACACAAAACACCTCTGACACCTGCAGAAAAGATCTTTCAAATCC